GATAGATAGATAGATAGATAGATAGATAGATAGATAGATAGATAGATTGAAAACCGTAATAAGTAAGAATTCCAGTCAGGCTGTTAAAAAAAAAGAAATGGATAAGGATGTATTTTAGTTGCATATCCATTGTTTTAATGAGTAAAGTTGTCACAAATACTTTAATCCAAAGTAATAATCCAAAAATTATTGCTGTGTTAAATCCATTTGAATTTTTTTTTTACCGTAGGCGCCACTTTATGGCTTAACAGAGCCCTCCCTTCCCTCTTTTTCTGAAAAACAATTTGCCCTCAGGACTTGTGCTGTCACTTGACCCTCACATGACTGCTAGTACAACTGGTGTTGGAGAAGTGCTGGAAGAAAAGAAGAACTGAAAAAAGTTGTGTTCCTCCTGAAAAGAATTAGGCACATTTACAGAACATGCTGGACTGACAACTGTGATTTTTACATTTACAAACCAAACGATAAGCAAAGAATATCTTAAAGATAGTTTGGATTTCTTTGACATCAGTTGTAACATCTTATTGATGCCTTGATCTTCCATAAGAATATAAAATGTGTGTGTCCTTTTTTCCATGAGAAATCTAATTTTCTAATTGCGTCCATTTACTTTTTCTTAAAAGAGAGCCGAATTTAGTCTAAAATGGCTGATTTTCTTCTGCAGACAAAGAGTTGCCCGTTTTTACAGTCTTCAGCTAGGGATACACAAATAGTATATAGAAATTGAACATATCAATTGTTTAGATGGCAAGAGCAGAGGACCAATTTTCTGCAGAAACGTTGTATGCTAACTCTGAAGCAAAAAGTGATATGTGGAAGTGTTATTTAAAGGCATAGCTTGTGTGTATAAAAAATGCCAGAGGCTGGTAAACAACAACGAAAGTATATGCTGACTGTTCCGCATATAGCTATTCCAGATATTTTTGGGTAATGATATAACTAAAAACATGCAATTTTGTGATTATGGGTCAATATACAACTTTCTTCTGTTGGGTCCATAGTTGGAGGGACCGGGGGTAATACGAACTGATGTGGAGCTGGAGTAAGTTAAACATTTTTTTTAATGTATTTTGTGAATGAAAAAGTTAAAACTTTAAAGAGAGCTTCGACGAAACATCATCATAGGTTTCTCACTGGTGTTAAAATGAACACCAGAGGGAGCTACGTAACCGAATCACGTCCAAGCGGCCGCTCTCATCATCCAGCCCTCTCTCAAAGAGCGGTACAACACAAAAAGAGTACTCACTCTGCGTTACTTTTGAGTACCTAATAATTAAATCAAATAACAATGACAATTCAAACTGTATATATATAAATATGTCATAATACAACAGGAAATATAATACAACAGAAAATATGCGAGAGCAATTATAGTATATGTTGTCAAAACCTAAGGTAAAGTGATCAATGTGGTGCTAATCAATCATTGCTGTATCACTTTTGTTTTGATCATGCTCAGCATAAAATTTGGACGATAAATCTTATCATTTATACGATATATTAACGGAGCATACGTAAGGATACGCAAATATCAGCATACCGGAAAGTGTTGAAATATTTCACGGAGTGAGTCATCTGTCTCACACATGATCACTGGTTAATCAGCGGCTGCTAACCCCCTGCTTCATCAAGGACGTTGAAGTTTAACTGAAGTAGCCTTTTTTTTAAAGTCATCCTTCTGTATAGGGAGTCTTATCAAGAGGAAGACGGAGGTAAGAGTACAATCTAAACTAGCATATTTTTTCTAGCTTAATTGCTGGGCAGGGAAGGTTGGGAAGAAAAAAAAGCTCCTCCTGTCATTGTGAGAGTAGCCTGTGTGCTTGAGCACTTTTGATAACCTGAGAACGAGAATGTCTGAAAAAGCAGCTTTTCCCTCATATTTGAAGATAGCATGAATACTGTTTCCTTTATGATAATTTTTTGTCGGCTAGCTCACAGAAGAAAAACAGGAAATGAGAAAAAACAACACGAGGTTCTCGATAGTTAAGATTGTTGAAAAATGCCGAAAAAGGATGTCGCAAGTCCTTTGACAGGGTATGAAGCTACAGATATGAAGTAACGTCATGCTGTTGAATCTGTGTATTGACTCATCCCGACCAAAGATCAAATATTTCCCAAAGAAATCAACCTGACATCTAGGTCTGTCTCTTATCACCTCTCCCATTTTTGTTGGCATTACATCAGTCTTCTCTCCTCTTTCCCTCTGAAAAGAGAAAGAAGTTCCCTGGAGAAGCTAAAGAAATGAAGATCCAGCAGCCAGAGAGATAATGGAAAAGAGTAGGAGGGATAAATTACACAGAAGACACACCAGTTCTTGCCGAATTCAGTGAGATACCTCTCCTCTCTATGGAGCAAGAGGAAGTAGCAACCTGTGAGAATGAATGTGAGAATGAAGGCTCGCAGTTGGTGTTCAGGATAGAACGAGAGGTCTATGATGAATCTTTCATTCGGACACAGCTTCTCCACCACAAAGAAAATTCCACCACCCTGAGACAAAGGCTGGCAGAGAAGTTCCAGTAAGTCCAAATCTTATCCAATCTCTCAGACTTACAGTAGTGCCGTTAAACAAATGCTGTGAAATATCTTGACAATCCTAAAATCAATATTTAATTCATTTTCATACCTGCTCTCAGGGCTGTTGGAAGCAGGGGTTCAGAAAGGTTTAGGCTGTATTGTGACCCTCTTGGCAGAGATAAGAACAATAGAAGTATGCAGCCAAACAACATACATAGTATGCATGGTAGCCCAAGTCTAATGAATGGATAGTTTAATAGAGGCGAAAGAAAAGTGTACCACTTGTAGTTTATTTATTTATTTTTATCCATCCAGATGTGCAGCATATGGAGGCTTCCTTTGTTAGTTTTTGTCTTCCTGATGAACCTGAGTAATTTTTCGTCGCATATTCATACATGTTTGACTCGTTTTACAGATGTTCATCAAAGAGGGCCAAGGCTGTAGCTCTGAGTGTGCTGCCAATCCTAACATGGCTTCCATCGTACCCGGTCAAGCAGTACCTCTTTTCAGATGTGGTCTCGGGGCTCAGCACAGGAGTTGTTCAGCTTCCCCAAGGTCAGTACCCTTTGTGGTGTGTGTAGTATGACAGAAATCGCAAGCTAAGATAAGTCGGTAAGTGTTAGAGGCCGGAATGTAACTCCTGTTGCTCTGTTTAGGGCTTCACACTGCGATTGTTTTTGGTATGACTGTGGCTCTGACATTGTGATGCAATCACTCGACCCATCTGCTTGTTTAAATATTTGTCTTTCTTCTATCCCACAGGACTAGCTTATGCTATGCTTGCTGCTGTTCCTCCAGTTTATGGTCTGTACTCCTCATTCTACCCAGTCCTACTGTACACCTTCTTCGGCACGTCCAGACACATCTCAGTAGGTAAGGCCCCTCTTGCAGAGCCTTTGTCGAGGCCAGAAAGTATACCTAGTCATTTATCAACTGTTAAGTTCAAATTTAGTGTCATTTTTATTGACACAATATTTTGAAACTTGCAAAGTTTACTAAAAGTCACAACGAAAATACTAGCCAGCCATTTTCACTTGCATGGTAACTGAGGTCACACTGAAGATGTGCACACGGGTGATTTTCAAGCTTTAGAAGGATATAATCTCTTGGAGTAACTTGATGCCAATTTAATGAGCAAAATGAATGAAAACCCGTCCATCCATCCAATCTCCTCTTATCTGAGGTTGGGTTTCAGACGACACAGGTTCAGGATGGAAACTCAGATATCCCTCTCCACAAACGCACACTCCTGCTGTTCCTGAGGGATCCTGCAGGGTTCCCAGACCAGATAGGATGTATGATCCCTCAATCTAGTCCTCTGTCTTTACTGGACATTTCAATCAGATGCCAGAACCACTGCAACTGGCTTGTATGAGAAGCAGTTACCTCCAAATGACTGAGTTATTTGCCCTATCTCTGAGGATGAGCCAAGCCACTCTCGGTAGGAAACCCATTTAAGCCACTTGTATCCTCGATCTCGTTGTCTGCCGTCACCACTTAAATGTCGTTGCTATAGGTGAGGGTGGGTACAAAGGTAGACCAGTAAATTGAAGCTAGAGCAAGGCCCTCCTCTGCCTGCAACCGGGACTCATCACCTAACCGAAGAGAGCATTCTTTTGGTTGAGAGCCATTGCCTTAGAGTTGGAAGAGCTAACTTTCATCCTGACTACTTCACACTCTTTTTTTTTTTTTTAACTGCTCCAGTGCACGTTGTAGGTCCTATCGCAAAGAAAGCGACAGAACCACATTGTCTGCTAAAAGTGGAGATGTGACCCTGAGGTTCCCAAACAGGCTCCTTTCCAACTTCACACTTTGAGATTTTACACAATTAGTAACAAGAAGCAGTCCTTGGTGAGACTAACACCCACTGTAAAGTGGTTCAACTTGGCGCCAGGTAAGGGGACACAGCACTTGCCTTGGTTAAACAGGGACTGGATACCTCTTAAAAGTGTTTGTGGTACTCTATATACTCACTCAGCATTCCCCATAGATTCCATTAAGGGAAAGGTTGTATGCTTTTTCTTAGTCTACAAAACGCATGTTGAGTAGGTTGTCAAAGACCCATGATTCCTCCTGAATTTAAGGTTGTACAATTGGTCAGAGCCTACTCTCTATCTCATAAATGCCTTCGAAAGTATTGCTGGTTTAGATATGTGGTTAGTAAAGTGTAATGGAGAAAAATGTAAACATCTCCTGTGCAAATCATCTCCTGTTTGAGATGTTATGAGATGTAATGTACCAGTCAGATATGGGAGTGAGTTTCAAGGCCTCATGAAGCGAGACTCGCATATCCTGTTTTTACTGGGAACGCTGGGCTATCCTTCCTGAGTTATGTTATTCCATTCCATTGGTTATTTCAAGGTGCAAGCTAAAATCTTTGTGTGCGCAGTGGTCAAGAGACAGCCTGTTCTTTATCTACCTCTGTGTGTAAAAGGTTGGTGCGCTTTCCATAACATGTTATGTGTTTCCAATGCTGTTGCCTTCCAGTACAACACTTTTCGGACATGATTGATCTTCGGGAATCATTGAGGAAAATTTCTCACTCATTGTAAAATAATTTCTGACGAAAGCAAAACGCCTAAAGCAAAAAATAAATTTAACTCATAAACATTATTTGATTAGCACGTGGATTAAAACTTTTTTGAAAATCTGTCTATTATGCAAACATGATGGTCTTTGTTCACCCTAAATGTTTTTTCAGATATATTTCTTTAAATGTTAATTCTGTACTGTTAAGACTGAAAATGGCTAAAGGTTTCTTTGACAACATATTTACAGGAAGGGGAGGCTAGCTTGTTGGAACGCTTCCTGATCTAAAGTTCTAAGTAGGCTTGTGAGACATAGCAGACTGCCAGCTGTCTCGGCCTGACAAACAGGAAACTGCATTATATCTGATGTTGATATTATTAAGTTTCAGACTGACTGAAAGTAGGATTGAAATGATATGGAGAAAATGTTTTCATTCAATTATGATAAATGAGTGTGACATCTCATCGTTCGTTTCTGCTGTCAATCCACTCAAAGCGATTTCAACTTGGCTCAGATGTCAGCTGACTAAAGGGTACAGACAAAATTGGTTTAAATGTTGGGGTCAAAAGTTGAGCAAAACAAAGCAGTGAGTGCACAACGGGGAGCAGCTGCCTCCTCTGTAAGCTGGCTCCGGCCCAAAGTTTCCCCAGTTTAGCACCATGCCATGGAAGTGATACCTCTAGTTGTGGAGGACAGTCGAAGCGAATAACTTGGCAGCTGTTCAAATGCTGGACACGATGGCCTTTTCACTCGCGAAATATATAGACTAGTCGTATTAACTTGAAGAGCGTGACCCCTTCGCTTCTCTGGAAACCCCTCTGTGTTCTAAGGATGAAAATAAGCGGGGCTAAGGTGAAATGCCTCTCTGCTGAGGTTTTGTCTGAAGGCCACAGCTGATAAACAACCATCACTGATTAAAGACAAAATTATTTTTGCACCGACGTTGTATTGTGATGTTCAAAAGCAAATGCTGAACATGATGGCTACCTGCACCAAGACCAATATCATGTGACAATACACCCAATTTGAAAAGACACCCAAGAGTCAATTAGTTGGACAAACGGCCTGTATAGACATCAAAGAAGACGGAAATTGGCAAATATGTAAATTTGATTTTGATTATACAGGGTCTTACAATTTAACAAAACACGCCTTTTGCAACTAATGGGTCATAAATTTAGAGAGGTTTGCTAAGGTGTTTGTGTCTAAATTGAGCCTAAAGGCTGTGCTCATATTAGAGAAAGGAAAAACTATCCTGGTTTTCATCAACATTTTCACAATTTTTTTTTTAAAATGTTTGTTTTTTTTGTTTTTTCCAGATGCAAGTACAAAAAGATGGACATCTGAAAATGTTTTAGTGTCGCCTAAAAACAAAACTCTCGCTTCAAGACGTAAAACAAGGGTTTATGTGCATCTACAATTTGCTTGGTTGTCCTTTTTTGTTTGGACAGCTACTTTTTAAAAAACTTTTCTAACACTCAATACAACTTGTCTACTTTTTATTTCCATCAAACCAGTCATTGGAAAGAAGTCAATGTATGATTCTTTTTTCACATTTGCTTTGCTAGTGAAAGGAATCCTAGCTCTGTGTACTTTATGCTGCAGACACAGGATGTTTCTGAGTTTCTTAATAGTTCTCCTGATCTAAATTTGAAGTGGTCTTAAATGTAGCAACGTGACCTTTTCTCTGTGTGGCTGCTCATCACTGTCACTGCCAACAAAGGAATCCTGAGCTCAAACTGGCTAAATTCGGCACACGTGCTGTGTTACCCCTCACTTTCAAATAAGAGATGGGTACTGCAAAATACACCTAAGGTTTTTTTTTCTCGTTTTTTTAAGTTAAAACCTTACAATAATAGAACAATAAAGTGAACTTACAGGCTTCTTCAAACAGTCTACGCAGGTGCTTTTGACTGCTTGTGGTTGTGGAAATGACTTTGTCTGAATTAGCTGGAGTGTCTCGCATGATGGGATGCGTTAATGACAGATTTAATTGTAGCAACTGTTGAACCGATCCATGTGTGTTGTGTTTTGACCTGCAGGCACCTTTGCTGTGATAAGTCTGATGATCGGTGGTGTTGCAGTGAGGGAGGCCCCAGACTCCATGTTCCCATCCATTGGCAATGGCTCCAATGTCTCTGTCGGGGTGGACGAGGTGGCCCGTGACGCCAGGAGGGTCCAGGTGGCCGTGGTACTCACCACCATGGTGGGAATCATCCAGGTCAGTGGAAGTGCTCAGATGGAAGGAAGGAAGTTTTTCCTTGCCTGTGTCGCCTATTGCTTGCTCATGGTGGGAATTGTTGGGTTTCTGTAATTAACTTCAGAGTAGGGTCTGACCTGCTGTGTTTGGAAAGCGCTGTGAAACAACTGTTGTGATGTGGCGCTATATAAATAAAATTGAATTGAATTGAATGAGGTGGTCAGCCTGCCTTTAACTCCCCTAGGGAAACTATTTTTTGTCGTATAGAACAGAGCACAAAAATACAAAATTATTGCATTTTTCTCACGCTCAAAAGAAGAATAAGTGCCAGCTTACACAAAGCAGTAGGTTATCCTGATCACTGTTTATGTATCTCCTGGAGTTGAGTGTTTCTATTTGAAACAAAACCACCCCTTCTCAGCTTACCTGCTTTTTTTTTTTCCCGCTTTCCTTTCAGATTGTTTTCGGTCTTCTCAGGTTTGGCTTCGTGGCAATCTACCTAACAGAGCCTCTGGTTCGTGGCTTTACGACGGCAGCAGCCGTGCACGTGGTCGTCTCCCAGCTCAAGTACTTACTTGGGGTGAAAACACAGCGCTTCTCTGGGCCCTTGTCTGCTATTTATGTGAGTTTATGCAGATTCTAAGTGGGCAAGCGATTTTGGGATCACATTAGGGATTTGAAATGTAAGGCAAAAATGACAAATGAGTAACTTGAATTGCTATCCCTGTGTCACTACAGAGTGTGAAAGCGGTATTCGGTGAGATCACCAGCACAAATTTAACCACTTTCCTCCTTGGCTTGGCGGGCCTTGTGTTTCTGTATGGGGTCAAAGTCATCAACGAGCGCTACAAGAAGAAGCTGCCAATTCCCATTCCTGGAGAGATCATTGTGGTTATCGTGTCAACTGGCGTCTCTTATGGTTTGTCTTTATCAGATGACTATAAAGTGGACGTGGTTGGGAAGATTCCAACAGGGTAAGTTGTCCTAAGATGTTCTACATCTGGGAGATGGGAATGTGTTTGTAAAGCTGCAGGGTCATATTGTGTGATTGTGGTTTTATTTTCTCGCTCTCAACATCTGGTCGAAAGAGGAACTGTTATAATGGCCCTGCTGAAAAATATTGACACAGTGGAGTGGATATACTGCAGGTATTTTCTTTTGTGTTCACAGGCTTAGCCCACCTGCTGTCCCAGAGTTCTCCCTGTTACCCAGTTTGATCACCGACTCGTTTGCCGTCGCCATTGTGGGATTCTCAATGGGCATCTCTCTTGCTAAGACCTTTGCCCTTAAACACGGCTACAGTGTGGAAGGCAACCAGGTCGGTATAGCTATGGGAGTTGATTGTGTGCCAGTTCCTGCCATAGTGAAATGTAGCAGCATTCATTCCATGGTTTTAAAGCTGGAGCGTCACTCAATTAGGAGCCTGAGGTTGCTAATGGTAGCAGCACCTAGAATGGAAGCTATGTTTGGGCTGAAAACTTGTTAGAAAAATTGGGAATAAATCATAATGATTTTTAAACACTTCTTGAACCCCAAAGAATGCCAGTAAAAAGCATTGCAAGATTAAAAATCTATAATAAAACAAAAAAAATCATTATTATTGCCATATTTTTAAAAGGGTCACCATAAACTTTCCAATGTATTCTGTAGATTTTGTTCACAGATGAGTTCAGAATACTTAGAAAAACACATGGAAAAAATTACAATTGCAAAAGTGATCAAATATTCTTTTTCAAAATCCAATAATCTCTATTTCGTTACATTTTAAATACAGCCCCAATTCAAACAGTCAACTGAAGAAGGTTTTTGCTATAGAAAACAAACAGATTGCACCAAAACTTCCATTTAACCCAATTCCCCATCCTGGGAATGCTCAAGGCGACAGTTGAAAGAAAAAAAACAGAAAAAACAACTCACTTTTGACAGAAAGAAACCACTGGAAGAACCAGACTCGGGATCGGCAATCATTTGCCTCGACCAGCTGGGATTTAAGAGTGCGGGAAAAGAGGACAACAAACACAAAACTAGTATAGGTGAACACTTCTGCAGGTGTCACTAGGACAGGGTTGGCCTTTTTGAAAATAGAATTAGGTTTAAAATGCTTTGTTCATCCCACATGGGGAAGATTAAAAATTCCTTGCCTCAGAATTGATATATTTACTATTGTGTATGTTTGAACATGATATGGAATTGTGTTGATGTTTTGGAGGGGCTTTTCTGTATTATAGCATAATACTAAAACAGAAATAAATGAAAGATAATAATAAAAATGTATAATTAATATAAAAATGGGGTAAATACACATTATAATGTAAAACAGGAAATATTTGCTTTTTATTTAACGAATCCTATCTGCATGTGGGGTAAAGGCAAATTGAAGCACGTGTCCTCTTAGTAATTGGTAACATTACTGAGAGGATTAAAATGAATTTATTTTCCCATATTGCTTTCAGGAGCTGATCGCTCTTGGCCTGTGCAACTTCATCAGCTCTTTCTTCCAGACGTTTGCCATCACTTGCTCCATGTCGAGGAGCCTGGTGCAGGAGAGCACCGGGGGGAAAACGCAGGTGACGCACGCTCTGCGGCAAAAGGAGCAGCTAGCCTCCCTATCTCACTAATCTAAATTGGTGCCTATAAACCTGTAATTAGAAACACTCCAGGTAATGTTTGCGCTGTGTGCGTGTGTGCGTTCAGATCGCCGGGCTGCTGGCGTCACTCGTGGTGCTGCTGGTGGTGGTGGCCATTGGCTTCGTCTTCCAGCCGCTCCCCCAGGTGCGTGAAGTGGAGTTAATGATACCGAAACCTCGGGGCTTCCTGTTTGCAGCTCTTAAACTAAACGCACACAAAGAAAGTGGCTCCACTGATAAGTTTTTATGCTCCTGCAGACCGCACTGGCAGCCATCATCATGGTCAACCTGCTGGGGATGTTCAAGCAGTTCAGAGACATTCCCAGCCTGTGGAGAATCAGCAAGATCGAGTTGGTGAGTTGTTTGAATGCGTTCCAATAAAAAAAACACAAGTGATTTGATCTTTGATTAGGCTTGACTGCTCGAGTGTGCCGTTTTGCGTTTATCATGTGTCCTTTTAAAGTAAATAATTACAAGGTAAAACTTGAGTGGTGAGGACCTGAACTCATTGTAAGTTTTTAGAAAAAAATTAGGAAGTAAAGCTATTTACCACCAGTTTTAGGTGGGCATAGATCATTCTTATCTATGGTTTTAGCCAGCTGTGTTAATCAGTATATTATCCTTCAACGCCTATGAACTGTCAATCATCATATATTGCTAGTATAACATGGCAACCTTTACAAAAGAAGAGATAAAAGCTACTGGTGTAAAGATAAGAAAGCTGTTCATAACCTGAAGGCTAGAGGGAAGCTAGGAACGATCGGCGCCACTATCCAGCTATTTAGGTAAAATATGTAGATCCTAACTGGTGTTGGTTAAACATTTCTCAGGATTTCGAAAACTACAGAAGAGGGCAGTGGTAATAGATGTAGCATTTACAAATGATAGTAACATCCAGTCAGAACACAGGGAAAAGGGATAACTTGAAAACCCCTCAAGCTTTAAGGCTTCTAAGAGTGGACCCAAGCTTATGAGACCAAATGTTTTCAAGACCCAATGGAGAATCTCTTAAACCATCAGTTTTTGGTGCAAAAATAACCCATTTTTACAAGTTTGATGCCTTTTGACGTTGATGATAAGGGATACATCTCCTGATGATGAAGGGAGGATGTTTTTATTTGTTTTTTATTTGACTGGCTTTTGGGTTTCCAACAACTGTCTTTTTGTGCCGTCTGTTCTCAGGCCATCTGGCTGGTAGCCTTTATAGCCTCTGTGCTGTTGGGTCTAGATTACGGCCTCCTTGTAGCTATTGCCTTTGCCTTGCTAACCGTCATCTACAGGACCCAAAGGTACCGTTCTCTTTTGTCTCATCATTATCAACTGCTCTGTTGAATTAACATAGTGCATCTTATTAAAGAATGGGGAATAAATGGCAAGAAATGATTTCATGTAAAAGTTTAGCCTTTTTTTGTTGTCTTTCAGCCCTAAAAATTCCCTTCTGGGCCACATTCCCAACACAGGCTTGTACTACGATGTGGATGAGTACGAAGAGGTAAGCGGTGTTCTCGGTGTAAAATCCCTGACCATAAATGTTGGCCTGAAATCTTCCTCAGTGATGTTTTTCTTCCCAGGCATCAGAATATGAGGGGATCAAGATTTTCCACTCTAATTCCTCGATTTACTTTGCTAACAGTGATCTTTATGTGAGCTCCCTCAAGGAAAAGGTAACTGTAACTGGACGAACATCTGATTTCTTCATTTTTAACAATTTTAAGATGTCACAGTGTGTTCAGGACAGGTCTGTGCTTGACAGCTGTGAGAAAGGAAAAAAAATTTAGGTTAAATTTTAAACTTCTGTATCATTTTTGTAACTTCTGCTTTTGATAACATCTGTGTAGACGGGGGTTAACCCTGACCAGTTGCAAGCAGTCCGGAAAGCCCAGAAAAAGCAGAAGCAGAAGGCAAACAGTAACCAAAACTCTCCAATGAAGGTTTGTGCCAAGGTGAGGCTTCTTCTACCTCTGTGCTCCTCCTGGTGGATTTAACACGGTTGACTTGGTTGACAATGCAAATACTCACTGCATCCTTTTCGTTTAGTTTTTTTCTTGCTCGGGCTTGTCTGAAAAACTTGTCTAACGAGGTGTAGATACTTCTCACACCCATGAGGAAAATTTCCAACAAATATGAGAACATTTATAATTTGAATGTATTAGAAAATGAGTTGGAAATTTGCTCTGACCCGTATCCTAGCCTTTATTATTTAAGAAACTCTTTTGATTTGTTTCAGTACAAAGACGAGGCTGTGACCCATGAGGTTTTGCCTCAGGACCATGACGTAAACGAGCAGAGGAACGGACAATTGGAAGACAAACACCGGGAGGCAAACTCTGAGGAGGCTGTGTTCCTGGAACCTCTGGGCACCGTGCACTCCATAATTCTGGACTGGACGACAGCCAGCTTCATCGACTCTGTGGGAGCCAAAGCCATCAAACAGGTTTGTCCCCTTTTTCTTGGGCGGAAGTAACTTCCTGCATGACATTTTGTTCGTTAGTGTTTTTCCCTTTCTGTGATGCAGTACTTGTTTAAGACACTTTTTTCTTTTTTTTCTGAATTCTGCAGGTTATTAGAGAATATGCTGCCGTGGATGTTCGGGTGGTCATAGCTGGCTGCAACAGTACGTGTCATCAGTTTTATTTACTCTCCTTCCGTTCACTGTTTTAATTCATATAACCTATTTAAACAAAGGCCCGTTTTTCAGTAAATGAGAATTCCAAGCAAAGGAAAACCAGATGGACCCCTTTAAAAAAAAAAAATTTAAAAAAAAAACAAAAAAAAAAAAACGAACAAACAAAAACCGGCCACCTGTTGGAAAACTGGAACTTATTTCCTTTTTCCTTAAAATCTTAATTGGTGGCTAAATAGTTATTTTTTGGTAAATATCACATTGAAACTACTAAACAGTTCTAAATGCATAATAACCTGAAAACTTTATCATTTAAAAAAATGTTCACTGCCTCCAGGGGTTATAAGATTTTCCATTCTGATTGTTTTAACCTACTTTTTGTTCACGGAGAACAATTTATCTTTCTTTGTCTCGAAGAGCATCCAGCATCATTAAGTGCTTTAATTAGGACTGCAGTGAACTGTCTTTTAGCATTTTGAACAAATTAGTATTCCATCCCAAGAACCATGTTTTATACACAAATGTTTCAAGCATAACATTCAATCAAAACTTGTTTTCTGTGACTAAAAATACAGTTTCTGTTCAGGAATGATATGAATGAATTGATATGATTTGATATTTTAATGAAGAAATAGTGTTTTTAAAAAAAGTGTGATAAATGGTTTATTTCAAAATGTGTGACAATTATGGCTTGGTGTTTTATAATTATTTTGGTAGCTTTTTTTAGTTTATTTAAATTTGTTGTGGCATAAAACTTACAGGTTCCAATAGAGGTTATATTAAGATAATTTGGTTTAATAAGTGATTAACTGTCAGTTGTTAGGTTAATGCAGTTCGGTTTTAAAAGCATTTGGTCATGGACTGTTTGGGCTTTTTTTAAAACAGTGTTATAGATGGAAGATAACTTGTGTACTTCACCAAAAATCAAGGATGCTCTAATGTCAGTCCTTTCTATTCTTTCAGGGAGCCTACTAACCACACTTGACACCTTATTATTCTTCACCGGGGATGTGACCACAGACATGGTTTTCCCCACAGTCCACGACGCAGTGCTGCACTGCCAACACAAATTACAGCCATCCACTTCTCCCCCCAATGAAGTGACCTGACGGCATCGATGGCCTGTGGACGTGGAAAAACCCAGAAAAAAAAAAAACTGACATGCATCAAAGATCACCATGTTAATTCCAGCAGCTCGACAACCTCTTAAAATCACAGGTGTCCACACCATATGAACTTTTTGGTATTCTGAAACTGGAATTTTTATTTGACTTTTTTCAAAGAAGAATTTCAAGCAGACATTCCTTGAGCTTTAATCATTTCCATCTTTAAAGCAGTCCATAAAAAGATGTTTTTGAAAAAAAAGTTGCACTTTGATTAAAACTTCTAGTAGTGATGAAGCTTTTGCAGCTCTATAGGAGAGTTCAAGCCTGCTGCCTCATTTCTGAGAAATCAAATGGTCTTTGTGTATTTGTGTGTGATAATCTAATGTCATTATGCTGGTACTTACTGTTACAGAGAAATTGTTTAGTGAAAAATTTAAAATATTTGATCATTTTGTATTGTCATGTTTGGTACTGCACCACTCTTATGTTGAATTTTTTTCTGTATTGTTTTCATTAACAAGGAAAAAAAAAACTGTTACTGATTAACACAAGATGCCTTTGTAGTAAAAGTTTGGTTTTTAATACACGCTGAGACTTAAATCAGGAATAAAGTTTATTTTTAAGTGACTCCAAGTGACAAAGAATATATTTGACTTGCTCCTTTTGATACAAATCAGACACACACTCAGTTGTAGGTCATGTATCTTGGGGTGGCGCTGAACTTGGCGTAGGACTTGATGACCTTGTTTACAGCCTCCAGGAAGTCTTTCTCTGTGGCGATCTTCCTACGAGCCCTGATGGCAAACATGCCCGCCTCGGTGCACACGCTGCGGATCTCAGCACCTGTGAGAAGACGGATATCTTTCAATCAATTCTGCTTGTAGAAAAAAATCCTCCTTTAAACTTAACTGGTTGGTGTATTCTTTTTTTGTATCATTATTGGAACAGAAGAGGTAGAACAGTAACAAATAAAATAAAATAATTCTCTCCAGTATCCCGAATGTTGGAGAATGCTAGCTAATTACTATAATAGTGACTCTTAACCCTTTAGACCCTGAAGAATATTGGATTTTTTTAGTCTGAAGTCTTTCTTTGGCTCCTCAACAACATAAGAAAAAAAAACAAATGATTTTGATCAAATTAGCGTGCACTAAGTAAAAAATATATTTTTGTGTAGTCTTCTACTCGCTGTTATCAGGTATATCTGAATGTGTACAACAGGGGTTTGAGCAAAGCTTTTACCATTGAATGATGCAAAAGTTTCAGATCCAAAAGACTTTGGAAACCGTATGTATCAAATATGATACATTTGGCATTATAGGGTTAAATCTTTTGGGGAAAACAATCATGACATTCAAATCTTAAATGGCTTTGATATACATTTCTAAACATTACAAGCCAGTCTTTTTGTGTAAACTTCACTTTATCAGAGTGACATATCAACATGCAGTATAACATCAGCAGCACATTAAATAGTAGCAGGATAATTATCACCTGCAAGACTGAAAGCCCAGCATTGCGCCTGTAGATTCCACCTCAAACCCACTTCTATGAAGCTAGGGCTTCATTTTAAATAGACTAATGGCGTTATTTCAGAACTACAGCATGATGTTTTACTGTCCCCTTGTGGCCACGGTTGAGCAACACCACCATTAGAAATGGGACTTCAAACTAAACTAAATATTACACAATGTTCGTGCTATTCTGGAAAACTAAGCAAAAGGCAAGGGAGAGCTATAGTGAAATAAAACAGCTGAAAAGGCTGATAACTAAGAGAATAGGAGAAAAGTGAAGCAAGTTTAGTTTTGACATAAGATCGCTGATGAGTCTTACCAGTGCTGTTGGGACAGAGACGAGCCAGAAGCTCAAAGCGAATATCTCTCTCCACGCTCATGGAGCGTGCATGGATCTTAAATATGTGGGTGCGACCCTGGAGCAAAAAGATAAACAGTACAGTTATTTTAAGACATGACAAGGGTGCAATCAATGTCATATCCACGCATGCAGAGTATGTGTTGTTCCATAGCAGACAAGCCCACCTCCAGGTCAGGCAGGCTGAACTCAATCTTCCTGTCCAGACGTCCAGGTCTCATCAGAGCTGGGTCCAGAGTGTCCGGCCTGTTGGTGGCCATCAGAACTTTTATGTTGCCTCGGGGATCAAAGCCATCCAGCTGGTTGATGAGCTCCAGCATGGTCCTCTGGACCTCATTGTCTCCACCCGCGCCGTCATCAAAACGGGCTCCTGGCAATTTAAACAAACATTACATTCAATTTTTTGGGAAATTAAAAAAAACATAAAATCAGTATTTCTCAAAATGTAGGCACTCCACATGTCTCATTTGTGGAGTACTGGAATTAATTTGTGAACAGGAATTATTTTAAAAGGCATATCATTATTACAGACATGAATATATCATATTTAGTTAGGATATTTTTTTACACCATTTAATTTCTTTTTAATGCCGTCCATATAAAACTTTCTTGTGCAGCATTGTCTGAGGGCTTGTAGTGGTTTTCAAACGTGGTCTTTGTGCTCTGCGGATTTACCAGACTCCTGTAATCTCTTAACAACTTGACATGTCGATCTAAATTCTTTTCCATTTGTTAAATAACTTTCTAACTGAATCCTGTATGACATCATGGCACTAAGTGGTTAACAATGACCCATAGTGTTATACCTCTCCCTGACACGTTCAACTGTCACATGTGTAGTTTTTCTAAATAGTTTAGCATTTAGTTTACCAATCTTTTCTTTCCTTACAACATTTTTGTGGGTGTTGCTTTCGGTGAGTTATAGATGTGCTAAAATATTTCAAATACAGTTAATTTAGTCTGGCAAGAAAGTGCTGATTATTTTCTTTGTACTTGAGTCTGTTTAAACAATTATGTCGAATATTGGAAAAATTTAAAACTTTTCCAGAAGACGGATTTTGAAATATTAGCTAAGGTCAGCTGTACTTGATAGTAAGGGATCATCCGAACCCTAACCACCGACATGTAAAATGCCTCAAATGTTGCCATTTTAAGCAAAGGGCTTTTAGACACATAAAAAGATTGGAGGATGCATTACCCCCAATGGCATCAATTTCATCGAAGAAGATGAGACAGGCCTTCTTAGTCCTGGCCATTTCAAACAGCTCACGGACCATTCTGGCTCCCTGTAAGCAAAGATGCAAACTCCATTACAAAAAGTAAGAGCTAATCATGAATAGTAGACTAAATGTAGGCACTCTGTGAAGCTCACCTCTCCCACATATTTCTGCACCAGCTCAGAGCCAATGACCCTGATGAAGCAGGCATCTGTTCTGTTGGCCACAGCACGAGCACACAGGGTCTTTCCAGTGCCAGGGGGTCCAAACAACAGTACACCTTTGGGTGGCTCAATACCCAGATTGACAAACCTCTCAGGCTGTTGAGAAAATGATTAAAACACATGACAAGATGGATTCCATTTTTTCTTATGGCAGAGATGCTGAGCTTTATTCATGCCTAAGCAAGTCCAAGAGGTCTTTGTGAACACTCACGTGGAGCAGAGGGGTTTCGACCACCTCTCTCAACTTCTCAATCTGCTCCTTACAACCACCAACATCACTGTATGTTACATCAGGCTTCTCCTCCACCTTAAAAACATCAAGTGAACCAAAATGTAATTAATTTTTGAGCAAATAGAAGGAAGATTCAATTTCCTAAACTAACTCAATAATAATAATAGTAATGATGATAATAAAAACAACTTTTACTTATCCATGTATCCTAATTTATTTCATCATAAAACACAGCTAATTCTAACACTTTATATTTTGTCTGTATTCTTACCTGCATCATGGTGACTGTAGGATCGATTTTTGGTGGCAGAGGAATATGGATCTGATACTTGTTCCTATCAACTCTGGAGGAAAAAATATTGGATTAAATTCAGCAGCCGATACTGAAAACGCAACAAAAAATGATGATTGTTAATGATAGGTGACACATTTATACAACCTATCTAACTTACCCGACTCTCATGCCTTCCTCAATGTCAGTAGGAGCCACCTGGTCACTCAGGTCCACCACAAACTTAGCAAACTGTTTGACATTTATGATATATTTGGGATCCTCAGAGTCTGCATTGATGATCTTTGTGCATCTGTTGAGGTAACAGTAATAGTACAAAATGACTGAATGGCAATGGAAAATGAAAGAGCTTTAAAGATATGCAATGGGATTGACTTAAAATGAGAAATGGATGGCATCAAGAAGTACAACATTAATTCTACTATTTAGAGGAAAGAAAGGTTTCCCTTTTTACCTTGCAACTTGTAATGGCTGTTCACTCTGCAGCGTTTGCTTATCAGCAGCCAAATCCCAAAGTGCTGGTGGAGCCAGACCTGTATCTGACTCCTTAATGCCTGTGAATGTTAAAAGAAAAGAAAACAGAAGTCTGCACTTAGACTTAAAAAAGCCAGTAGTTTAGCATAAAAGAAGTATTAAAACTTAACTCATTCCCATTTACCACTGCTACCATGGAGTATAAGTTTTTTCTGGTTCCATCACTGACCTGTCAGTTCATTGATCTTTTTAAGAAGGCTCTGAATGTCATCTTCCACTTGTTTGATCTGTCTGGAATAGGTGCTTTGACCCTAGGGACACAAGGCAAGGGGGGAATTTCACATTCTCAGATATGAATGCTTACATATTACTGACTCCAGAAGAATCAGACAAGGATCACTAATAATAAAATGTTGTGAGATAATACTTACATATGTTTTCAGCAGAGCTATGTCCCCTTCATCCAAAGCTGGAATTAAAATTGAACAAGCATCAACGACTTTGCATTCTGACTGAGCGATAAGACAGCTAGCATTGTAAATACACCAACGATGCAAAACGCTCGGCATAGCCGGGTTAATTATCACCACTTTTCATATCACACATATTAAAAGCACTATTTCTTAAAAAAATACATCATATAATCAAGGAGGACTAAACTGTAATAGTTTGTTTGCTAACGAGCTTGCTAATGTTAGCCAAGATGAGGCTAGCTAACATCGACATTGTTTGCCAACAGCGAAAAATGTCTTCCTTTATATATACAAATATCTAAGGCAAACCTCTAATAGGTCCATCTTCTTTTTCCTCTTCCTTTATCTTCCTTTGGTCGTCCCCCAAATAGTCTGGCATCTTAAATTTCAGAATCAACTGTTTTGTCACGGAGAAACTGAGAGGTTTCCGCAGCTAAACTGAACAATTACACAGCAGCTTTACGTTTCCGTCAATGAGCGCCACTAACCGGAAATTTACAACGGAGTTATATTGAGGATGTACTCCTCATTAAATTTTGAAAACGGTAAATGCTGATGATATTGTCAGTATTTTTCAAATCAAATAATATGTTTACAATTTATTTTCATTCATTTATAGAATTCACGGGGGAAAATCCCGTAACTACTAAATCCACCTAATGCGGAACTAAAAATGTGGAACCAGCGTGATAGTTGGGAGTTGAAGGCAGCCTAACCCACGAGTCCGTTGTCGCATTGGCACTTGTAAAGGAAGGCCCATGTGGTGTGCTGAATGAGCGGGCCACAAACTCTTGCACTTTAGCAAGCGCTCATTTGATAATTGTGTGCGCCTAAATGTTGGCACACTTCGTTTTTCAGAGATGTTGTTAGAAGCAAAGGACGGAGAAGAAACGGTCGTTTTAAAAGCGGCTGCCGGTAAGCACTGACAGGCCAGAGGAAGATGGCTAACTCGGCTATAAATGTTACTTATTGCCTATGTCTCTAATTAATTAACGTCAATCTAAAAAACAGACAGCAGAAAATAAGGTAATATTAAAAGACCTATTTAAAGACTGACGCTGACTACTGAGTCCAAGTACTTGATGTTATGTATCACTTTACTCAAAATGTTTGCTGTATTGTGTAATGTTACCGGCGTGGTGTGCACTCTGCACTCACATTTTCTGCTGTGATTTATTGTGGATAACAAAAAAAGCTATTCAGACGTGTTGGCAGCCCTTGATATACATCCATTTATGTCTTTATACACTGATGTACGAGCACCTGTTGTACCTACAGATGGTCTGACCTGTTAATGTTTGTACTGGACACTTAAACGGGTTGCTTCCTTTTTAAGGGAAAGTGGAAACCAGGGCAAAGTAAAAAAGTACACTTGTTACATGAATACCTGGATGTATTAATTCTGGGAGTCCTACTGTAGTTTCTAGAAAATACATAGTATTACAACTCCTACTAGACATTCATTTTGCTCTGTCATGGTTGAGTAACTGAGAGGCACGTTTTTTTTTTTACTCTCGAAAAGTTTATTCTTGGAATTGGATGCCATTAAAATCAAGGCAATGTACATATTAGAAAAAATGGCATTGGGCCTAACCAGAGGGTAGCCTTTTAGAACATTTAGAATTCCTGGTAGGGATACTTCTGTAGGTATTATTTTGATTTGTCAGTAGTCTGCTTTTAAATTGAATGAAATTATATTCAAGGTGTACATGTTAATTATCTGAGCTACCAAACCTTTATCGATTAGTCTATCAGCAATTTATCTGTTGATCTCTTTATTTAAAATTCAAATAAAACTTGGACAAAATACACTGAAATTCAAACCTTACCAATTTTGATTAGGCAAAAGTAAAATGGATTTTTTAACTGGGAGCTTTAACTTCAAAATGATTTAGAAGTTTCAGATGTATTATCCTTTAAGATTGCTTAAGCTCACTTAGATTCTCATGATTTCTGAGTGGTTGATACCTTCTTGAATCAAATACACCATCCCTACTGACTGAGTTTTAGACTTGTGGCTTGGTCTCTCCTAAATAAGTCTGTTAATGTCAGTATTTAGATAGACTTTGAATTCTTTTGTTATCTGGGCCAAACTTTACAACTCCTGTCCACACTTTATATCAAATAGCCCTGATTGTCTTCCTCACTTCTCTGTATCCCTCTTGTAGCATCTGTGCAGGTTCAGGTGGAGCCGGTGGGTCGATGGTTTGAGGCCTACGTGAGAAGGAGAAACAGGAATGTCTCTGCTTCATTCCAAGAGCTTGAGGAAGAGGAGGAGTCATCACAGGAATCAGAAGATGAGGAGTTTCAGCTTGAGGAGCATCCCATGCTGCGAACACTTGACCCTAAAGATTGGAAGGTATCTTACAAGTTTTTTTTAAATCTTTTTTTTTTAAAGAACATTGAGTCTGATGAATTTAAGAATAATCTTTAGAATTATGAGTGCAATATAGATTTGTTCCTGTTGAATAAGTTGCTTCACATTACACATTTTCATATAAAGGATTAAATGAGAAGCTTATATATATATATATATATATATATATATATATATATATAAACTTTTTTTTAAGACATTGTGCCTTAAAATAATCTACTGAGACAGATCGTTCCTGCGTATTTCCTCCTTGTAAAGAAGATTGTTGTATTTTGGTTGCCGCGAGTGACAAGACTGAATCCTGTCTGCTGATAGGCTTCTGAGACATGCATTCTGCAAATGAGGATTTTGATGCACCTTTCCCTCACTGTACATTCAGCGCCTGTCCAATGAACACTTGATCATGCTGGCCATCTACTGCAAGTGGCATGTTTGAGGGCTATTTAGTAGGTTCTTTACATCAGGCTGGTGTATGAGAACCCTTTAAACTTAGAATCATTGTTTAAAGTTTTACCATGCACAAATGTTTTGCCTCTTTACACCCCTTTTTTGCAGTTTCCGTATTGAAGTATTTCTTCTCATATGCCATGTAATTCATTTGCCATGGCAGCATTGCCTTCACGTGATAGTGTTAGAAATAATCCACAAATGTAAATGTAATCATTTTCCACTTTCATTTATTTATTTTTGCTCCCCTTTTCCCATTAGAATCAAGATCATTATGCTGTCCTTGGGCTCCCACACTTGAGATACAAAGCAACGCAGAAACAAATCAAAGCTGCTCGTAAGTAGGCCTCCACCGGTTTAACGGATCAGTTCCTGGTAGGTGCGAAGAGAATGGTTGTATTTCATTCTGCACTGTCTCTGCAGATAAAGCGATCGTGTTGAAACACCATCCAGACAAAAGGAAAGCTGCCGGAGAACAAATTGTTGAAGGGGACAATGACTACTTTACCTGTATAACTAAAGGTACACACCCCAGACATTACGAACGGCACGTTTCGCCCGCCATGTTGTTATTGTTGTAATTGAAGATTGGACCTGATTAAAAACTTGAATCATGTTAAATGAAACTTTGAAATAAATTAATTTAATCACGTTTTTTATTTATTTAAATGTAGTATTGGACTCAAATGAAATCATAGTTTTTAAATTCAAAGAATTGTTAGACAACCAAACAATAATTACACATATAACTTAAGTCTCTAACACCAAAGCCTTCTGGGGTATCATTTATAAAACATTGTGTAGGATCTGTATTAAAAATGTATGTACGCCCAAAATCCAAAAATGGTCAACTCTCTTTATGTGTCTCCATGCTGTGGGGTACAAACCCCACAGCATAGTCAATAAATCAGACTAGTTTTTGCCTTGTTTAAAGCGACAACGCTTTAATTGATTAAAGTCCAAGGACTAGTTGTAATGCATATGTTGTTTGGATTGTAGCAATTGAAACCCTGTCAGACCCCACAAAGAGAAGAGCGTTCGACAGCGTAGACCCGACCTTCGACAACAGCGTGCCTTCCAAGGGCGAAGGCAAAGAGAACTTTTTCGAGGTATTTTCTCCAGTTTTCGCCAGAAATGCCAGATGGTCTTCCAAAAAGCATGTCCCCAAACTCGGAACGATGGAGTCATCTTTCGAGGAAGTGGACAATTTTTACTCTTTTTGGTAAGTACGAATGTATGTTTTGTGTTGTTGATATATATTTTTTTAAGCTATAGATAATGCTATCAAGAAAAAAGAATGTTAAACCGAAAAACACTTTTATCATCAAAGGTACAACTTTGATTCCTGGAGGGAGTTCTCCTACTTGGATGAAGAGGAAAAGGAAAAGGCCGAATGGTGAGATGATGTGTATTACATTGACGCTTCACTCTTGAACACATTTTGAAGGTCCTGTGAGGTAAGTTGTGCATAAATAAAATGTCTAGAGGGAACTGTGGTATTGAATGATTTCTTCTCATATGCCCGCCCACCCCCCAATCCAGTCGAGATGAAAGGAGATGGATTGAAAAGCAAAACAGAGCCTCCAGAGCGCAGAGGAAGAAGGAGGAGATGAACAGAATTCGCACTCTAGTCGGTACAGTCTCTCAGCTGATCCACGCCAAAGACATCCAAACCGTCCCAAAAAGAATGTTAACAATTGCGTTGTGACCGAATTGCTTCGTTCCACCACAGACACCGCCTACAGCTGTGACCCCAGAATAAAGAAGTTCAAAGACGAAGAAAGAGCAAGGAAAGAGTTTGAGAAGAAAGCCAAAGCTGAGGCCAAGAAAAAGGAGCAGGAAGAGAAGGAGAGAGTAAGTGAAATTCATTTGTTCAAGTTACAAGCAATCTTTTTTCTTTTTTTTTTTTTCTTTATTGATTTAGGTTTTTGGGGGCTCAGATGTGATTTTACATTGATCTTGATCGGGGTCTTGAGGGGTGACATAGTTTAAAACTTCTACATAATCTCCACCTGTCCTAACGTTTTAAAAAGCCCACCTGTTTTAAAAAGCCCATGTATTTACCATGTTTTATACATTTTTAACATTTTTAAGTATTTTGTTTTTTACATCTTAGACTTTATATTTTTAAGCATGTATTCATGACAATTAGATTTTTTACTTCAGAATCTCTTCTATCCATTTCCAACACATGTATTTAAGCTATTTTTGTTCAGTTTTTTTCCTTCAATTTTCTTACCTTGTTTTTTCCAACATTTATTTCCATGTTTTCTTTTGACAAATCTGTCCTCGTATTTACATTTCCCGATGTACATTTCCTCATTTTTTACAAATAAGGTTGTCCCTCGATGTGTCCGGTAGGGTCATCCTTGCACCTACTGGTCAAATATTACACAGATCCTGTTTTCTTACTATAGTTATTGGTCAAGATGTAGCATTTTAACTGTCTTATGTAAAATATCTATTAAAGGTGAAATATTCCCTCCTGTTTTCTGGCAACAAGCACTTGTGCCCACCTCATTTTCGTGCTTTTTTTTTTTTTTTTTTTTTTTTTTT